ATGATACAAGAAGCATCACATGAAGGTGGAAGGAAAACACAGAGTCACTGTAACAAAAAGAACTGGTCGACATTCAACCATTTACCCAATATACCTCTGGTCCCTCGAGGCTTCCTCACCCCCCCCACTATCATAACCCCGCTGCTGATTCCCACTCTGGACTGGAACATGTACATAGGTACAGGCAAGAGATAAAGCTCACGGCACAAGGAACCCAGCAACAGGAATGGGGAATAGCGATACCAAAAGGGTAGGGGGAGGGGGAAGAGGAGGGGAAGAAGGGAGGACCATCGAAATGAATGGCTCATAACCACGCACACTCCCCTCCAGTGGGAAGAACAAGAAACCAGGGGAGAAGAGAGACGGCAGTCGGTGTGAGATATGAAAATAATAACAATCTATAATCTATCAACGTGCCACAAGGGTAAGGTGACAAGCCGGACAGTCCTGATTTTTTGCATTTTTAAAAAGTCCTGATTTTTGGAAAGAATGCACGACAAGCTAGGGAACGGTCTATTTGGTCCACATAGACCAAGTTTTTAATCAAGACCCACCCCCTGTCAATGGTGTCCTGCTTTAAATCTGGTGGAGGTAGGCAAAAAAGAAGAGCTGATCCCAAGGGCTCAATAGAAAGCAAATGTCTATAAAAGCACGATGGCAATATATGTACTAATACGTCTGATACAATTGCTGTATGGATTGTAACAAGAGTGAGCCCCCAATAAAATGATCTTAAAAAAAAAAGTACCACGGACTGCTAAAAGGATTAACAGATCTGTCTTGGAAGAAGTAAGGTCAGAGTGCTCCTTAGAGACAAGGAGGGCAAGACTTCGCCTTACATACTTTGGACATCTGGTCAGGAGAGACCAGTCTCTGTAAAGTGGAGGGCGGCCCAAGTGGCTGCATCAATGGACAGGAACAGTTGGTGAGGCTGGCGCGGTCCTGTGTAGTGTTTCCTTTGCAGTGCCTAGGGGTCACTATGGGTCGGAGCCCACTCGAAGGCTCCTAACAATGACATATGCATGTGAAGGTTGGACGTCGAATAAGAAAGACCGAAGAGGAATCGACGTATTTGACTTGTGACTTTGGGCAAAGAGAATGACAGTACCATGAACTGCCAGCAACATGTCCGCACGCAGTACACCCAGAATGCCCCGTCGGCGTGCGGCCAGCCAGATTCCGCCCGCGTGCTTGGTGCACATTTCAGGAAGAACAGGTCCTCGGCAGGGGCATCTGGCTGGTAGAGGATGGCTTGACACCGTGGCTGCAGCAATGGGCGCAGTGTGCGGAGGAGGTCGCTCTGAGTAGAACGCACGCGTCGACACCTAGCAACGGCGTGCATGGCAAACACTTGATAGCAGTGGGGGGGTTTGTTGTTGCGGTTGTTGCTTCAGTGCTTCGCTGCGCAAACACGGCGGGCGAGGCTCTCCGACGAACCGCTGAGAATTCGACCTCCGGGCGCGCCGCGTTCGCAAAACCCGCCT